CGCGCCCCTCGCCGCCCGGAGGGGGCCGCGCCGGCGCCTGACCCCCGAGCAGAAGAAGCGCTCCTACTCGGAGCCCGAGAAGATGAACGAGGTGGGGGTCTCGGAGGAGGCCGAGCCGGCGCCCTTGGGCCCGCCGAGGAGGGGCCTGTGTTTCCCGGAGAGCACGGTGGCCGACCGGCGCCGCCTCTTCGAGCGCGACAGCAAGGCCTGCTCCACCCTCAGCCTGTCGGGGCCCGAGCTGAAGCAGTTCCAGCAGAGCGCCCTGGCCGACTACATTCAGCGCAAGACCGGCAAGCGGCCCTCGGCCGCCGCCGGCGCCCAGGAGCCCGGGCCGCTGCGGGAGCGCGCGCAGAGCGCTTACCTGCATAGCGGCCCCGCGGCGCCCGAGGGCCCCGGCCTCGCCTCGGCCTCCAGCCTCAGCTCGCTGCGGGAGCCCGGCCTGCAGCCCCGCAGGGATGCCACCGCCCTCCTGCCGGCGGCGGGGGAGCTCTCGCGGGCCCCCCGAGACCGAGACCGCAGCGGCTCCTTCGCCTTCAGCCGCCGCCTCGGGGATCTGCGACGTGCGGACCAAGCTCCGAGGGAGCTGCCCGGTGGAGCTGACGGCGGACTGAAGGACACCCAGAGGATGCACAGGACCCCTCAGGAGCTCTCCTCGTGGGGGGCCGCGGCCGGGAGGGCCGGGAAGTCCCTGTCGGCCGAGGACCTGCTGGAGCGCTCAGACGTCTTGGCCGTCCCGGTCCACGTGAGGTCACGGTCGTCCCCCATCGCAGACAAGAAGCTCCAGGTACGTGCAGCCGGGGGTCCTAGGACTGCCCTCTTAGGCCCCAGAAGCTTTAGTGCCTGCGGCTCCCCTGACCCGTCCTACCCCTTCAGTTTTCCTTTTACAGGCAAGAGTAGCATTTGTTTTCATGAGGTGATTCCTTTCTCAGTGCCCTATCTGATATCCTTACAGAGATACAGATACAGAGAGATATCTATATAGGTGTATAGATATCTTATATAAATACATATATCTTGTATATATACACATAAATATCTATATCTGTATATATAGAGACGTAACTTCATTTTAGGAGGTCACCTATCTCTCAGTGCAAGAATGCATGGTTAAGGAAAAGTTAGGGGTTATCTTGTTTTTTGCTTTTTTGTTTTTTTTTAATTGATGGAATAGAGGCTGTGTCTCATTATTTTAAAGATTTTAGCTTTGCACCCTCTGTGTTTGTATTGGAATTTTATATTTACAAAATAGGCAAAATTACTGACTTTGATAGTTATTGAGTTCCTGGCCCTCATCAAAGTGTGTAGCAGGTCCTCAGGTAAGTATGCTTATCATCTCATTAATCCTCATAATAATCCTACGCAGTAGAGTATATTATCCACATCAAACCTATGTCTCTCTGACTCCCATTGGAGTTCTTTCTGTACACTCTGCTGGTGAGATAGGAGAATCACAGACTTGCACATTGTCACATGAAGGGATTTTCTAATAAAGGCTCCAAACCATGCAAAGATTATGAAGTGCTTTCCACTGGAAATTTCAGGCAGAGCTAGGAACAGAACCTGAGCACCGACTCCCAGGAGTCGGTTGATCTCCCTAATTCTCAGCCCATCCTCAGGCTCCGCTTGCCCTGCAGATCAGTGGCCTGCCTCCCGGTTCCCTTCCCACCAAGAAGACACTAGGAATTCACGTATGTGTTAGCACAGGGGAGAACACCCCTCCATTGCTCCTTCTCCAATTCTGTTTTTCCCAGCAGAGAAGTTAATCATTCAGCAAGCATTTGTAGAGCGTACATTGTATGAAGGACCGTATTTTAGGAGTGAAGGAAACACAAAGGAAAATAAGGCTCATACCTTTCTGAGGTTCACAATTGAGCAAGAATATGAATGAAGAATATGACTGGTGAATGCTTTGGGAGGAGTGATAAATAATATGCTTTGGGAGGGAAAGTGATTAATTCTGAGGGGATCTTCAGAGCTTCTCTTGAAGGAGATGAGATTTGAACCAGACTGTAAAGGAGGGGCAGGATGTCGGAAAGGATTGGGGGTGGTGTGTGGGAGGCATTAGTTGGAGGAAACAGCTTCAGACAAAGAAAGATTCAGCCGTCACTGCCTGAGAAATTTGTTTGCCGCACAGCTTCTGAAACACACATATACACAGCCTTCTGAGAGAAAATACTGCGCCCTCCCAGATATTTTCTGTTCAGAAATATTTTCTCCCTGGTATAAATCCACAAAAAAAATCTATCAAGGCAATCCTCCATAAGCCTCCAATAGCCACTTTCCTCCCCTGAGAATGAAGAACAGAGCTAATTTCCAGTCCTTACCCTACCACCAAAACACATTTAAAACCCACGTATGTAACGTGTGATTTCAGCTAGTTTGATAGGCTTCGTTAGCTTAGCAAAGCAAACATTTTCTTCATTTCTCTCCGTGTGTTCTAAAGAAAAATAGAAATGTTTAGGTGAAAACCAAATTATCTTCTGTTGTTTATTCCTCACTAGATGTCATTATTCTATCCTGGGGAATTGGTTGGATGGCTATGAATGTTATTTTGCCTTCCCTCCCACCAAATATTTCTCAGGTCTGGTAAATTGGGAAATAGAGCTAAATCATAGGTGGTATAAGAAAGTGAAGAGATTTCTCCAAATCCCAATTAAATACTTCACGTTATTTGAAAAACTTTTTAGAAAGACAACTAAATACAGAACATTATTTAGGTACCCTCCTCAATAAAGACAGTACCATATTGAGATACTTAATTTGAGGAATATGATGCCAGAGGGGGAAAATGTTTCAAAATGAAATACTTTATCTGTGCTGCTTTGCTCTTACGAATTCTGAGAATAGGTTCTCATCCCCCAGATTGTAATTGTGCCAGGACTGTGTTCTTGAGCTTTCTTCTTCATCCCCCCACCCAGCAACCAAACCTTGCCTGCCCTGAGACCTGGACCATGGCAAGGTCTGCTCCTTGAATCTTCTCATACAGCTGTCATCTACCTTATTTGTAGAACTAGTTAAAAAGAAAACAAACCAATCTCCACATAATTATTGTGGTTATTGTTTCAAGATATTATATTCTGTTTTTTTATTTGAATAAATTCCAGGAATTTTAGCATTATCACTAAGCTTTGGTGAAGGTGTTAAATACAAATTTTTCTCATCCCAGCTTTAGAGAACTCTGAGAAATTAAGTGACCCTGTAGAGAGTATCTGCCGGACTTAAACCCAAAATATGGAGTCTGTTTCTGGTGCTGGCTCAGTCCATGGCATCCTGAACAAATGCTACTTGCTCCTGCCAGCCAAATGCTAATAGCAGAGCAGGATTTTACACGCTTTTGACAAGGATTCAGCTCATTTTCAAAAGTCCATTAGTGAAGACAGTTTCTGCCTCCAGAACAAGGTCAGCATGGAAATCAATTCCTCTGTTTATAAAAATTGATCATTCTTGGGCCTGATAGAATGACTGCAGAAGGCGCCACCACTTGTAGCCTGAGACCTGCTCAGATGATACTCAGCAGGGCTGGGCCTTCTCTTAGCCAGCTATGGTCCTCTCTGAAACATGCAGCCTCCCATTACCTCTCCTTTAATTCCTCTTCATTTGAAAGGTGAAATTGCAGAACAAATGAATATTAGTGATAGAGCTGAAGAGCACATCAAATTCTTGCTTATTTCCTACTTTCTATGAGACTTTGGAAAACTTAACCATTTTAAAATGGGTGGGCCCTGCAAAGCTGCAGAAAAATATCCAAGAGATGGAAATATAACAGAGGCTATAGAAAGAAACCTTTTGGAGAAATAAGACTCCTGGTTGGGAATTTTTTTCCCAGATGCTAAGTTGTACGCTTCTATGGTTCTCACAGTATTTTCAGAGACCTTGGTTTCTGATAGGTAAAACATTCACCATGTGATGGTGTGACAAATGTTATTTAATTGCTGAGGAAATTGCTCAGTGCATTCTACAGTGTTGGAAGTAGGCTTGATTCTGTAGGATGCAGCTTGTAAATCGTTTTAGCACCTCTCAACAAGCACCCATTCAAGCTTGTGCATAAATAACAGAATCAACTTTCCACAAAATGTTAAGTTACAAATAGCTACTAATAATCAAATGTGTACTATGTGCCAGTCATTATACTGTTTTATAAGCATAAAATTAATCCTTACATCTATGCAAAGAGGTAGATACTATTGTTATCACTATATTACGAATGAGGGAACTGAGCCACAGAAAGGATGAGAAATTTGCACAGGGTACTGGGAGTGAGGTTTTGACCCCATACTGTCTGATCCAGACTATTCATGTCACTATACCATGCTGCCTCCTTGAATAAAAAAAGGCTGGGGGAGGAGGAGAGAGGCGAGAGTTAAACATTTTATATCTGAAAACTTCAGTCAATGAACTGATTTCATTTTGACATTTATCCATTACTGTTATTTACATTTAAATAATATTTTAAGATTTTTCAAATGGATTTCTAATTCATTTTAGCAGATATTTGAAACTGATATTCGAAAGTAGATAAATATTGTCTTCATATTTTGTTGGTCACAGAGATATTAGGATTTCTAACACAGAACCCAAAGCAAGAGTGAAGACTGGGATTCAGTAGGCTTTAGGTTTATAGTTTTAAGTATGCTATGCCTAATGAAGAATAAGAACTGGTGTATTTTTAGGTCATCGGAAGTCAGAGATAATTAACAAAAACAAATAGACATTAAACAAGTGTCTGTTGGTATAGCTATATCTGGTATTTCTCCCATAGCCACTGCTTTTTTCCAAGTCGCTGTAACAAGTACTTTATACTTCTTACCAGTTTATAGAAAATCAAGTCTTCTTTGACAGTGAATATATGCCCAATCAAAGCAAGGAAATGCAACAGAAATGTATCCTCCTTGGGCTTTTACAAGGTTGGGAAGGCATTTTCCTTCTGTCTAAATGGTATTTCGATAGATGGGAGATTTAGAGAGTTCTCTCAATTGCCAGTTACTGGGTCTCACTTCCTTTATTTTACGCACACTCACATCAGTATCAACTTATGCTCATACTGTAATTCAAGGGAAATAATAGAATGGAAAAATACTTTTAAACGTTACTGGGGTAGAAGCTTAAAGGGGACCTAGAGGCTTTTCCACTTAATTATTGGCAAAACTGCACATTCATGTCAACAGAGGGGGTGGGGTGGGGAAAGACTTTAAAAGAACCATAAGGTTTTGTGGAGAGCAGGAATTCCCATTCCCTATAGTGATATCTGAGCAAATCAGATACACATGGAATTCCTTTGTCTCAAAGCATTGAAGTCTGATTGCAGCCAGCTCAGCTACCACTCAGCTTGTTAAGATTCCAAAGAAAGATCTTGGGCTCTGAAGACATCATGGTTTGGATCCTAGCTCCTCCACTTACTTAACTGTGGGTAACATACTTCACCTCTCTGAGCTGCAGTTACTTCCCCCCTCCTCATTCTTATAGATTAAGTTACAGAAGAAATGGCAGGTGCCTAACACAACTCCAGGCACATAATTGGAGGATTGTAAGGAACTTAGCAGAGTGTCTGGCCCACAGTAAATGCCCACTGAGGAATAGCTGCAATTACTAATGACATTCAGGGTTGTTTCTTCTTCAGGCCTACCACCATCTTTGGCTCTTTTTATTGCTTGTTTGTACCTCTGCCGCTGACTGGGCAAAAAAAAAAGAAAAAGAAAAAGAAGATGGAAAGCAGTTAGCCCTTTGGACAGAGTAAATGGTGAAATAAGTTGCTGAAATTAAGTTTAGGGGTTATATATGGATTTAATTTTTCTGTTGTCTACCTGTCTCCTATTATCATAAATAATTGCGAGTTGAATGTTTTATCATCAATAGCAACATCATTGTCTTCATCAGGGACCTGTTCACGTGGGCCAAATTTTACACTATCAAAAACTGACCCACGGCCCTTTCAGGAAACCAACATATATGCTTATTAAAACTAACTAACAAATGATTACCCCCGAAAAGTCCCCAGAGTTATTGATATTACATGTGGGTGAGATGTTTTTCCTAGAGAGAATATATTACAAGTCAGATTCATATCTTCTCTAATTATAACTCAGAGCATTTGAGACTTCTGCTAAATTCAATAAACTATCCTTTTCCTGACATCTCCCATATTTCCCTATTGCTGTTTCAAAAGCTTGGCCCTTTGAATTTGTTTTCATCATTATATTTCAAGGATAGTAGTTGTTTTGAACCCTGGAGATAATTGTCATCAGACTTTTTGCTTAGAAAATATCCTTGTTAGGAGAGGCACCTGGTGAGACAGACTGAGATTCAAATCCTAGCTCTGCTGCTTGTGAGCTTGGGAAGGTTAACCTCTTTGGGCCTGTCTCCTCGTCGATGCAGTGGGGTTAACAATACTTCCTGGGGCTTTGAGGATGAAATGGGATAGTATGTCAGAGCACTGCCATGGTGCCTGACAATAAATAGCAGCCTCCAATAAATGCTCTACCTCCACCCCCTTGGTAGATTCAAATACCTGTTTGTTGGTAATAACACTGTGCCTTTCTTGTATTTCAAGGATGTGCTTTTGGGGGAAAACAATGGCTTTGGTCTTGTGAAGGATCCATGTTATTTGGCTGGCCCTGGATCCAGGTATGTATGTATATTTTTGATGCCCTCTGCCTTATGAAGGCTGCTGGAGTTAAATGTTTCTGTTCCTTTCTACAAGAAATTGAAATGTGATGTTGTGATATTTCATAGTGTCATGTGCTGCCTTTCCATCTTATCTAAGCTGTGGGGAACTTTTTTATTTATAGATGACTTTCTCTCAGAATGATATTTATTCAAAATAGGTTTTGAATGTGTGCTATTGAGGCAATAGTTGACTTGTAATAAGTTTAGCATCAAAATAGTTAATGGATATGCTCTTCTCAACATAACCTATGGCTCTCATACATGGACCTCTCTTGTGTGGCTGATCTTTTCCACTTCTGTGCACAAAGGATCAGGTCCAGTGACAAAAGTGCTAGGGGAAAAATGAGCATTTCATGAACAGCTTCACAGAGCAAGACATACTCACAGGAAGCACCTGAAGTAAAAAAATAAAACTCAAAATCATAATTTTTAGGCACTTAGGGATAGAAAATAGCAGGTAAGTCATTTTAAAACAAAAAAAACAAAACATTTGCCATCAAAATCATTTCCCCTAGGTAGAAAAATATAATGGACAATTTTTTAGAATTTGAATTTTTGAACTATTCACATCGAGCTTTAATAAGTAGAAATTTCCGTAAAGGGTTTCTCCTGAACCACATGCCTTGCCTATATGTGGTTTTAATGTGGTGTCATAGGGCTATCTACTATATTATTACTAATGCTAATACATTTAAACTCTCCCTACTACCTTCCATGTTTTTTCAAGCTAGTTCTTTAATTTTTCTTATATTTCATTCAGTCACCATTTCTCTCCCTTTCTATATTCCCTTCTCAATAACTCAACCTAATACTAATACTGTCACTTAGAAGCAGCCAGCATGGTCAGGAAATGGGTATCAAGTTACCTCTTTTATTGCCAAGAGCAGACTTCCACAGTTATGTGCTCTTGCTCGCATAGCTGTGCCTAAAGTGAAGAAAGTATTCAAGGTGAGGCTGAGGACTTTGGTTAGCTTGGGTGCGTTAATTAAAAGCTAGAGACAAGGGAAAACTAATAGTGAACTAGAGCACTGCCAAAAGAGAACTGGTCTGCAGACAAAGGTGAAAGTAAACCACAAAAAAATCAAATAGCTCAGTTACAAAAAGGACTTGAATAGACATTTCTCCACAAATGGTAGACGAAAGACTAACAAGTATATGAAAAGATGCTTCACATAACTAATCATCAGAGAAATGCAAATCAAAACCACAATGAGATACCACCTCACACCCATTAGGATAGCTACTATCAAAAAAACATAAAAGAACAAGTGTTGGTGAGGATGTAGAGAAACTGGAACCCTTGTGCACTGTTGAGAGGGTTGCAAAATGGTGCAACTGCTGTAGAAAACAGTATGGAGGTTCCTCAAAAGATCTACCGTATATAATCCAGGAAAACCACTTCTGAGTATATAGCCAAAAGAATTGAAAGCAGTGTCTTTTGAGATATTTTCATACCCATGTTCATAGCAGCACTATTCACAGTAGCAAAGAGGTGGAAGCAACCCAAATTTCCATCAATGGATAAATAAATGTCATATATGCATACAGTGGAATATTATTTCAGCCTTAAAAAGGTAGGAAATGCTGTCATATGCTACAACATGGATGAACCTTAAGGACATTATGCTAAGTGAAGTAAGCCAGTCACAAAAAGACAAATGCTCTATGATTCCACATATGTGAGGTATCTAAAGTAGTCAAATTCATAGAAACAGAAAGTAGAATGGTGGTTACAAGGGCTGGGGGAGGGGGAAAAGAGGAGTTGTTGCTTTAATAGGTATAGAGTTTCAGATTTGCAAGATGAAAAAGTTCTGGAGTCTGTTTCACAGCAATGTGAATATACTTAATATTACTGAACTGAACATTTAAAAATGGTTCAAGTAGTAAATTATATGTTATATTTTTTACCACATTAAAAAAGGTGCTATGAAGGAAACAGACAATCGCTCTCAAACTCCATTCTTGAATATTAGGATTCCTGGATATATATCAACAGATGCTTGCCTCTCACACTTTACTATAAAGGAGACTCAAACTAAAGCTTTTTTACTGTATTCTTTGTTCTTGGAAAAATACAAAACAGTCACTAAGGAGAAGCATTCTCAACCAAACTAAGCATTTAACTCAAATATTACCTTCAAAATATGCAGTTTAAGTATGGTTCCTGTAAACTAAAAAGATTAGACATAAACTAAAAACATCACATCAAGGTTTATTTGGGCTGGATCCTTAAAGGATAAATATTATATTATTGTGTGTTTTAGGGATGTCTCCCCTTTTTAAAAAGCCTCAAGATATAATAAATAAAATGAAGGTTCCTGAATTAGTCATTAAAACATCAGATTCCAGTGACTCCATGTCCTATTGGAGGATGCTAAGTTTAAAAATAGTTCATGTCCTACAGTCTGAACAGCAGTGGGGCAGAAGAGACATTGTTTGTTCCACAGACATTTCCTGAGAGGATATTTTGTGCCAGGTGTTTGGGGTACCACATTGAATAAGATGTGGGAGAAGAAAGCACCCCAGCGCATCTCCTGCCTCTGGGTTTCTCGTTTACCCATTTGGGAACCCACCAGGAAGAACGGAGTAGCCAAGCTTGGCTATTGAGAGGTTCCTGGTAAAGAAACCGCCTGTAAATGAAAAGGATTGTGACAGGAGGGGAGGGGCTGCATCTGAGAGAGATGGGCCCCTTATTGAACCATCTGCATTTATAATAAAGAAAAAATAACGGCACGAGAAGAGCTAATTTGGCTCTTTGCGGTCTTTTCCTTCCATGTGCAGCCTGACATTCAGACGATTTTGTGGCAGGCAGGACTCGGGTCTGTAAAATGAAAAGTGCCATCTGCTCTCCAGATTCGCTCACATCCTAAGCAGGGAGCTCCAAATCTGGAATTTACAAACTATGTTGGTTTGCTGGAGACTTGTTTTATCCTCATATTAACTCGCGTGTGGCAGGCAGGCAGTGCTGCAGACTCCTCTTTTCTTTGTTTTGTTCTCCTTTTTTCCTTTAGAACACAATAACAAAAGTATTGGAAATTGTTGGGTTTTTCCTTGGAGCCTAGACAGCAGTTGTTTAAATTACTGGGCACCTTGTCTGCTCATTACTGTCAACCTCTTTCTCCAGAGGTAACTGCATGTTAGTTCCTTAGGTGAGACTCTCCCCCTCCTCCTTACTTTCCATTTTAAGAAATGAAAACACTAGGAGACTAACAGAAAGTTGTAAATAAAACCTCCAGATTTAGCAGCCCATGCAAATGCTTTCCAAACAGACCTCCCCGTGGGGCCCACACTGGGAGAGAATGAGGCAGCATTCCTTTTCCCCAGAGTCAGGAGCTGGTTCCCAAAGTAGTCCTAAAAGGAGGGGAAGAAATGTACCTACTTGTTTCTTTTTATATCCTGAAGCCTGTCCTCAAAAGCTGCCTTATATGGGTGCTGGGGGCGGGAGGTGGGGGCTAATACAAGGAAATGCCTTGTGACCCCAGGCTTGCCATGTGACATTTTCCTGTAGGAGGTTACTCCTGTCTGGTACTTAATTTAAACTTGGTTCTTTGTATGAGCAGCCCAGGGAAGATAGTCTGGGGGCCTTCTCCCCATCAAATGCTTTTTTCTGTGTTTGCCCCTTTCTTCAGAGCTGTAACCCTCGTGTTTGTATCCTGCTGCAGGTCACTCAGTTGTTTGGAAAGAGGCCAAGAAGAGATGCCGTTGCTCAAACACCATCCTAGCCCTCGTTGGGGTGGTTCAGGCTGCAAAGCAGTTAGTGGTGCCTCAGTTCCCAGCGAATGTCCTGGACTGCTGGACCATCAAAGGCAGGCCAGCAGAACGCCTTGCCCCAGGCCGTTGCCCACAGGAATGCAGGGGCATCTCACAGATCCCAGGGCTATACCACTGACCCCCCTCAGCTCTGTTCTGCCTTCCCCTGTCCCCTCCAGCTTCTGCTCACAGGCTGCTGCTGATCAGCCGACTGGAAGGGATGGTCAGATGGGGCAGCAGCCTCTTTTGCCCTACACCCCAGCAGTGACCCACAGAAGCAACGGTCACAGCCTGGCCCAGCCTCCCAGTCCGAGGGGCCATGAGCCCAACAGCCCAGAGCATGGGATAGAAGAGGGAATGAGGAAGCGGGTCTCGCTGCCTCAGAAGCCTGTCCCGCCACGGGTGAAATGGGCCCATGCAGTCAGAGAGGACAGCCTCCCCGAAGAATCCTTGTCGCCTGAGTTTGCTGACCTGAAGCACTACAAAAAACAGCAAAATCTTCCAAGTTCAAGCAGCACTTCTGACCCAGACACGCCTCCTGGGGTCCCAAGCACTCTGGGGAGGATTTCCCTTCGAATATCCGAGTCTGTCCTGCGGACCTCCCCCCCACCTCGGGAGGACTATGATGATGAGGTGTTTGTGAAGGACTTGCACCCCAATGCCACTTCCAGCCCTACATTTGAAGCTCTTCCCCCACCCCCGCCGCCTCCACCTAGCCAGGAAACCCCAGTGAATACCTTGGATGACTTTCCTCCACCTCCGCCCCAAGCTGTGTATGAGGCGCAGCTGGACAGCGAGGATCACAAGGAGCCCCATGCCAGGTGAGTGAGCAGACTCTGGGTAAGAGCCTTCCACGGAGGAGAAAAGGGTTTCCCTCACCAGTAAGAGATTTTCACGCTCCAGGCTTCCCAGAGCCTGCTTCTGTTGGCCACAGGACAGCCCTGGTGTGGGTTTTTTATACAAGCTCAGCTCATGGACCTGGCAGGACTGTTTTACTTGTTTACCTTGGGTGGACGGTGTACTAGTGGTCATTGGGCACCAAGGGGTGGGAGCAGTGAAGATGAAAGGCAAGACCCAGGAGGCATAGTTCACTTCTGTGGACGTGGCCGATTCAAAGGGACCACATAAATAGCATCCCTCTTCCCTGCCCGAGTTCTGAGTCAGTTAACAAATAAGACGAAAGAAGAAGGTACATAGATAACAAAAACATTACATTTATCACTGATACAGCTGAGGCTGGAGTGTTAGTGGGCCTTCTGAAACTGAGCCCCCAGATTAAATAGGTTTACCCGCCTAGTCACAGTCCATGCTAGATACACACACACACACACACACACACACATACACATGGAGTGCGAGCACACAGAGTGAGCCTGGAGGCAGCCTTACTCTTAGAAGAGAAGAGGCTGGACTGTGAATGGTCAGCTTCTCTGTCCAAAGTCACCCCCTGTTCATGGGGAGGAATAAAGAGTAGGGCTAAAGGTCAGTAGTGTTTAGGGAAAACTTCTTCTAGGAAGCCAGAAGAATGGGGAAGAAGCATTTCTCAACACATACTCCCTAGGACAAGGGATCTCTCAACACCAAAAAAACACATTGCCCGACCTCACCTTTGTGGTAACTTCCTCTCAACACCATGTAATTTACCTCCACCACCCTCTGTTCACCTGGACCTTTCAGAAGGCTCTGGGTCTCACAGCAACATTCACCAAAACTGAATTCCTCCTTGATCCATCCCCCTTAAAAAGTCTACAACCTCCCTGTGACCAACTACTAGGCTCAGGAGAAGGCTCCTTTGGTGGTTTTGAGGGAATAATAACCTTAGAAGTGTGACCACCTTGCTCCACTCCTGATATGGGAAGGTACAGCCCTGAGTCTTCCTTCGCCCTTCTCTTGACTCTTCTCTTACCACTCTCTTTTTGGTACCCCCAGCAGCTCCAGCAAATTTGCCAAGGTGACTATTGCCAAGGAAAGGCCCAGGCCTGGTGCAGCCCATTTGGTTGGTAGTCAGCTACTAGCTTCCAGATCCCAAACTTCTATCAAGAGTTCGGAGGCCACTGAGACCAACCTGCCGTCCACCGTGGGCGCTCTGCCCCAACTTGCTGGGTCTCTTGTCCAGCAACCGAGCCCTGGGCAGCTGCCTCCCATCCGGACCCAAAGCCTCATCCATGACCCAGTCAGTGGGACTCAGGGTTTAGAAAAGAATGTCAGTTCTGGTCCTCAGAAGACCTCAGAAGACATCAGAACAGAGGCTCTGGCCAAGGAAATTGTCCACCAAGACAAATCTCTGGCAGACATTTTGGATCCAGACTCCAGAATGAAGACAACTATGGACCTGATGGAAGGTTTGTTTCCCCGAGATGTTAATTTGCTGAAGGAAAACAGCATAAAGAAGAAGGCCACGCAGAGAACTGTCAACTACCTAGGATGTGAAGGCAAGAGGTAAGTCTAGGACCATTTATCTGATGTTTTCCTGCTTCCAAAGATCCTGGCCCAAGAGTGACATTCCATTTCAGCCTTAGGGGAATGGCCCTGAGGAGTAGGATGTGGGACAAACTGACCTTGAGTTACCAGGCACTTACCCAACAAGAAAAATATAGTAATAATAATAATTGCTGTTAATACCTGCTGTTCATGTTATGTCAAGCATTGTATTGATTTCTTTATATAAACATTATCTTATTTAATTTTCCCAAGAACCTTCTGAGATAGCTACCAATTTTATCTCCATTTTACACATGAGGAAATGGAAGCGCAGAGAAATTAAGACCATGCCCAACCAAAGTCAGAGAACACGTGAGTGATGGCATCTGGATTTGACCTCAACACTGTGAGCATGCCTGCTCTCTTAACGATCATACAGTGCCTCTAACTCCACAACTGCCCGTTCTCTGTCAGAGTTAGCTTTACAGAGAGTCCTCCAGGGGTCAGTGCTGAGAGAGGAGCAAGAGAAGTGGTGAGTGTGACAGAAGCCCCCCAGGCGGAGGTGAACACCATCTGTTGAAAAAGGATGAGAGCCTAGAGAAATAGATTTATTTACTACACTGACATTCACCTTTGAAGAGTTAGGGTGGATGTTTGCTCAGATCCTGAAAATCAAGAAAGATCTGAATGGGGGCGCACTCGTGGTTTTGTTCGTGAGCCTCTGCTCCTGAAGCTCCCTGAGCAGCACGTGTCTACTGTCCTGTAACATGTGTCCCAACGCCCGGCCGTGGGGTGAAAGGACTGTGAGCCGTCCGAATTTTTTATTCTTTCAACTTCTCCCGGGTTATTGCAATATTTTCTTGCATGTTTGATTTTTGTAAAGGACTACTATGGGAAAGATTTAGAGTGGTTTTTATTTTCTTTTTAATTTTCTATGAAAACTATGTGGCTAGACAGACTGGGGCTCAGCAGTTAGTGGCTTCCAGACTAAATAAAACAGAACATTTTATCTCAATTTGGGCTTGCATTTTAGAAATTTCCAACTGATCCTAACCAAATTACTAACAAGAATACCGTGTTTTGACTTGGGAGGGCCGGGAGAAAGGAAAGAGCTATGTAAGACTTAGAAGTTACGTGATATGTTATTGGAGGCTCTCCTAATATAAGGCCTGAACAGTCACCTGTCCATCCTTCTTTTTCAGATTTGGCAAACAGAGACTAATTGAGGTGAAGTGACTTACCAAGGGTCATGTGTTTAGCAGACATTTACTGAGCACCTACAACGTGCAAAGCAATCCCCTGGGTGCCACGAAGGACCCAAAGATGTGTTTCTGTGGGTGTGCCAGTCAGTTCACCTCGTGTGGTTGTCACAGGTCAAAGTGAGGGGCTTCCATTTACTTCATTCTGTTCTCTGACCACTTGCTGTAGAAAGACCAAAGTAATTTACAAATACATCCTTTGAGAAGCATTTCCTAGCATTATCATTGAGAATATACCTTCTCAGTCAATTTAGAAGTGAAATGGTCATGTAGCTTTTGCGGCACTGAGACCTTCCAGAGTGCTTTTAAACGAGTGACCTGCGCCATCTTCTGGTGAAGATGAGCATGGTCTTGTTGTGCATGAGACTCAGCAGATAGCCATTGTGAGGTTTAGTTCATCAAATGCCCAAGAAGCCCATTTGTAATGAAATGAATACATGTGGGAGAAAAAACATATCAGAAGACCTTTTTCCTATTTTTTCAATTAACTGGATTAAATGTAACTATATTGCTTAGAGGAATAGTCCCATCAAGCAGGAAACTAGTAAAAATAACTTTTTTGTGGTTCTTTATTCCGTAGTAAAATGATGGTCTAGATGTTAAATAATGTCATAAGATTGAATAGTTGAAATACTTCTCCAAGAGAACCTAACTCACTTCCATAGAGTCATTTATTCAGTGGGTAGGATCTGACCTGTAGTCTGAAAGGCAGCTTGATTATAGTAAAACAGAGAACACTAGATATGAGGAGGTTTCTCAATTCCTAATTTGTTCTCCAGCCTTGAAACCCCCTGATATGTAATGAATGAGTAGATTTCACATCTTGTATTCTTTGACCAGAAAGCTCCCAATTTCCCAGGCTTATATGGGGTATCAGGCTTACATGAGAAGGAACATTGATAAGTGTCCAAGCAACAATTATAGTAGGGATCAGAAAGATTATGGGAAATCCTGGAAGAGTAGGAAATAACCTAAAATCTGAGATTTGTGCAGCATCTTGAATATACTTTAACATTGATTGAGTCATGGCTCCTCATTGTCTTTCTGTGAAATAGGGAGTCAGTATCATTCTTTTACTTATCGCAAAAGGAGGACTATGCAGAGAGGTTAAATGACAGGTCCACGGTCCTAACTCCCACTCCTCTTCCCACTACTGCCTTTGGTGGTTTTCCATCCCGTGTTTGCCTGGCTTCAAGAGCCCTACATATAGTAATCACTCATTAGTAAATATTTATTAGTTGGTTCATCCTAATTTCTAGGAAGAAATTGAATAGAATGTTTTACACATTTCTGAATGGACAGACGTGTGATGAAATGAAGCTTCTGTTATGTGCTATGTGTGGCTGTACTTTTTGTTCTTTATGACCCAGAAGTGAAGACAAGGAAGCGCTGGGCATGTTGGTCAACTGCTCTGCCTACTACAGTGTGTCTGCTCCCAAGGCTGAACTTCTGAACAAAATCAAAGATATGCCAGAAGAGGTGAATGAGGAAGAGGAGCAGGCAGATGTCAATGAAAAGAAGGTAAAGAAAGAATTGGGGCCTATGTTCTGCTCTCCCCAGAAAGATTGTCAAGGTCCTAGCAGGGTTACAGGCCCCTCCCGGCAGGAGGGGAAGGTGCCTGGCCATCACGAACCTCGCCCAAACCACCATTGGATTCTGGACTTGCGTGGTACTTTGAGCAATTTCCTCATAGCTCTTCTGTCATTTTCATTTTTACAAGAGACAAAAGTGAAGGTTACAGGGAATAAGTTATTTTCTCTCTCATAGATGAGACTAGAACCCAGGTCATCTGCCTCCTAGTTCAGCACAGGGACCCCAACACTTTCTCAGAGCTGACCAGCCAGTGCCAATGGTCTGTGTGATTTTCATTTCCTGTTTCACAGTCAAAAGGAAAACTAGAAAATCGAGAAACTTTAAGGAAAGAGAGATCGATTATCAAAAGACATTTCTGAGAAAAGCTAATGTTAATCTTTAGATTCCCCAACTCTCTTTCCAATACCCCAATGAATAGCTTGAAAGCACAGTGTTGGAATTTAGTTGTTAGCTTTGATACTCCTACAGAAATCTTAAATGTTAAGCATTTTAAAAATGACCATGTTGGGGCCGGCCCCGTGGCTTAGCAGTTAAGTGCACGCGCTCTGCTGCTGGTGGCCCGGGTTCGGATCCCGGGTGCGCACTGACACACCACTTCTCCGGCCATGCTGAGGCCGCGTCCCACATACAGCAACTAGAAGGATGTGCAGCTATGACATACAACTATCTACTGGGGCTTTGGGGAAAAAAATAAAATTTAAAAATTTAAAAAAAAATGACCATGATGCTGCTGCTGTCTTCCCACATGCCATGGAGATCTAAGCCCAGCTGTGCCTGCAGGGGAGAAAGTTCTTGCCATTCCTCTTTCCCTACGGTCACAGAGGGGCTGCTTGCCACTGTGCTTACTTACAGTTCTTCATATAACTCAAGCGTGCACGCTGAAAAAGGACTCTTTGTTAAAGCTTGCCTCTCGCTGATCCTGGAATGTAAGTGGTTTTCAGTGGTACCAATTCCAGGAGGAACTTTCTCACGTGATTCTGTTTCATGTATTCTGTAACATGTGCTCTAAGCCCTCTTGCTTATGTGCTAAGATGAGACCACAGGATAATGGACCCTGGGCGCAGGGGGTTATGGGGCAGGAGGATTTCGGGGTTTCAGAAGCACCTCCATTGGTAGTGTTCTTCTCTCTCCTGCTGCTCCAGCTCGGGGCTCACGGCGCACGGCCGACATGCTGGCACAGCCGCTCTAGTAACACACGCTCTCCCCGCCCAAGGTTTTCCCACGTACACACCTGCTCCGTAGCACACTCCTGGCACATCCTTTCCTCAGCACTGCTGAGTGCCCCCATTTAATGAGTCTTCTGACTGGGGGGAAAAAAAACACCTACCTTGCTCTAGTCTGTCTATATTTATCCCAAAGAGGGAGCTGTATAAACACCATTACAAGCGTCAGGTTGCCATGACATCTTGAACTGAACATTTTACACAGTTTTTGTTCTTGTTTTGTTTTTTGCACATAGACATATCCTGCTTTACAGTAACAATGTGGCAGATTACTTGTTGCTTTTTTCTCCCATCTTAATTTTGTTTGTTAACCACTTTTCCATCACTTTATTATCACCCTCTCACTCTGAGGATTATGTGGCAAAAAGTATTTTTAGACTGAGAATATGAAGGAATAGAAGATTAATCCTCATGAGAGGTAACATTAGGTACTATTTCTTGAGCACTTTTTATGTTCTAGGTGTGGGCTATGTTTTTTTATGTAGTGCTGTATTATCTATTTACACAAAACTGCCCTGACACCTGTATTGCCACATTTTACACTGAAGTAATCAGCATGTGTCAGAATGAGTCAGGACAAGAGAAGAGGGGACATTTAAGACAAAGGAACAGCATGAGAAAGGCCTAGAGGTGTGAAAACACCATAGGGCGTGTGTGTGCTGAAGAAAGGTACTTCCAGTAGTTTGATATTTTGGAATGTAAAACAAAAAGGCTTGTGATTAAATTAGAAATGACCAAATATAGAGAATAACAAAGGAAGGCCACAAATAGCAGCAGAGGAGGCTGGGAGGATCCACAGGAGCCAGAAAGTCATGCAGATCACATGGGGCTTTGTGTGAAATGCCAAAGAGGTTGAGTTTTACCATGTGACAGTGGAGAACCCTATGAGAATTTTGTTTGTTTTAATGAACTACAAATTTATTAATATGTAATAGAATTTTCATTAATGTCACTTGCATTTACATTCTGATTTGGAAACAGAAAATATGTGAGCTTTAAGTGATGTTGTTGCAGGTGTCTATTAATATGTCCAGCATAAAGCTGAAAGTGCGTTTTTCTTCCTGATATACAACAAGCTTTTCCAAGGACGGTTGTAAAAAATGATGCTTGGTCAAGATTGTTCTGAGGCAGAGTGTAGCCTTCCACCAGCTTTTGCAAAGTAATCATTTGTTACCTAATATTTAAAGTTATTAATAACCTCGGATATATTTCTAGGCATGAAACTCACAAAGAGTCAATGGAAACTAGAGTCCTGATTTATGAATAAATATTTTTAAAATTGAAATCAGCATTTTAAATCAATTCTACTTTAATATAGTTTCTATGTATACATCATAGATAATGAATTATAATGTTCCAAGTAAATACAAAAATTACTTAGAATATGAAACACTTCATTGTCTGAACTTCCGACATACATAAAAACTAGAGACAGCTTAATAATTAGAGCTTTCCATTCTTTGGCTAAACTCTGCTATATCTATTCGGCAAAAATCTTCTTAAACAGATCCCATGATTCTCTATTCTGAACGCCAAAAGGCTTTGGCATAGAGACTTAGTGGAATATTTCAAAAAACAAAAAGAAACTGTTGTTCCTCGGAGCTGACTTTCCCCAAGAGATTGTTGGCGACCCACGTGGTTCTCAGCTGCCTGTTTGCTGTTCTTCCTTCATTCTTGAAGTTCCAGGCTCCCCTCTGGTCTGTCTTCCTTTCGGCCTGAAAAACTTCCTTTAACATTTCTTTTAGAATAGGTCTACTGGTGACAAATTCTTTGTTTTTCTCTCTCTAAGAAGGTCTTTATTCTGCTGTCATTCTTAAAGGCTGTTTCCACTGGATATGGAATTCTGGGTTGACTGTTCTTTTTCTTTCAGCACTTGAAAACTGCTGTTCTGCTTTCTTCTTTTTTCCATGGTTTCTGATGAGAAATGCACTCATTTAAATACTTGTTCCTCCTATAGCAACGTGGTGTTTTTCTCTGGCTGCTTTCAAAATTTTCTTCTTTGTCTTTGATTTTCAGCAGATTGATTTTGATGTGTATGGGCCTCATGTCTTTGGTTTATCCTGTTTGGGGTTTGCTAAGCTTCTTGAATCTGTAAATTTAGGTCTTTCACCAAATTCAGGAAGTTTTCAGCCATTATGTCTTTAAATATTTTTTTATGCACTAATCTCTGTCTCTTCTCATTTTGGGACTCCAGTGACACAAATGTTAGACCTTTTGATATTGCCCCACAAGTCCCTAAAGCTCTGTTCTTTTTTTATTGCAAATATTAATAGTTTTCAGTTTTAAAATTTCCACTCATTTATTTTATTATTTTTTTGTGAGGAAGATCAGCCCTGAGCTAACATCCGATGCCGATCCTCCTCTTTTTTGCCGAGGAAGATTGGCCCTGGGCTAACATCTGTGCCCATTTTCCTCTACTTTATATGGGACACTGCCACAGCATCGTTTGACAAGCAGTGACAAGCATCGGTGTGCACCTAGGATCCGAATTCGTGAACCCCGGGCCGCCGAAGTGGAGCGCATGCGCTTAACTGCTTGCGCCACTGGGCCAGTCCCCACTCAGTTTTTTTTTATAGTGTCTGTTTCTTTGCTGAGAATGTCTATGTTTCCATTCACTTCAAGAGTATTTACTTCTACCATGGAGCATGGTTATAAAAGCTGTTTTAAAGACTTTGGTAATTCCAACATTGGGGTTATCTCTGGGTTAGCACCTGTTGATTGTCTTCCCCTGAGAATTGCTCACATTTTACTCGTTCTTTTTATATCAGGTAATTTTGTATTGTATTCTGAACATTTTGAGTATTATGTTGTGAGACTGCTTTCTGTTGAAATCCTTGGATAATGCTGATTTTTTGTTTTTGTTTTTGTTTTTGTTTTTGTTTTAGCAGGCAATCAACCTAGTTAGGTTCAGACTACAGGTTCTGTCCCACCTTTGGGTGATGGTTCTGATGTCAGTTCCGCTTTCAGAGCCCTTGCTGTGTTGTACAGGTCTGTCCCACACATGCACCGTTCGGGGGCTAGTCTGGGACTGGGTAGTTGTTTCTATCGTAGTTCAGTTCTCAAAACCTTTGCTCTGCTGCTTTGGGTCTGACCCACACATGTGCAGCTTGTGGGTGAGCCTGGGACTTCAGTGAGTTCAGACACAGAATTAGGGCATTTTCTTTTCCAGCTCTCTCCTGTCCGTTATTTTCCCCACACCCTGGCCCCCAGCAGCCCATTTTCCTGGGCCTCTGGCCTGTGTGCATGGCTGGGACCACCCTCAATAAAAGAGAAAGAAAACCTAGTGGGGATTCCCTTCATGCTCTTTGGCACCCAGGGTCCTTTTCCCAGTTCCTCTGACCAGAAAGAAGGGTGTTCTCCGGGGGTTTGAAGTGCCTGTGCCATCACTGTGCAGTACAGCCCTGCACGTGGATCTGTCCTTGGGGCAGGGCTGGGAGAGAAAAAAGAAGAAAAAAGAGAGAAGGGGCGGGGGAAACAGGATTTCCCCCACACTCTTTAGCTCACAGAGCTTTTCTAGTCCTCTGGTTTTAAAGGCAGGGCCTTCTCAGCTTTTGCTGCTGCACGCTCTGTGCGCTTCTGCACTGGGGCTGTCCTCAGGTCAAAGCTAGAAAAGAAGAGAGGGGGGCAGGAAACACCCCCATTCGGGATCACACTGCAGGTCTGGCTCGCCACCCCAGTTGTAACTGGACAGAGCCCTCCTCAGAG